GTTATGAACCAATGGCTCTATGTGCTTTTTTTAACCATTGTATTTCCCGTGTTTAAACCGTTTCTCTGCTCTGCGTTGTCCAATCGACAGCTTTGTAAAGTCCCCCAACATAACTACTGTAATTCAGGGCTATACAAAAATAAACGGACTCAAAAACAACTATTCTGGAAATGATTCATCCGTAGCCAATTTGCATCTCATTTGTTAATTGTGCCGTGGTGTGTGTGTGTTTTTTTTTTTTTTTGTGAGAGATCAAACATCGGGACAGCGGGAAAAACCACAGGAGGCAAAAAAAACAAAAACCTCTCCGATATCACGCGGCTTCTTACGACCCCGCCTGCTTCTCCAGAGCGTCGCTAAGCAAAAGTAAATCTCCTAAAGTGGCTCTCGCTGAAGTCCAAAGTCAACACGGCGGGCTTGGCAGAGTGTGTCTTGTTCTTGTAGCTGCGATTGAGAGACACAGGAGCAATTTTATAACAACATTTCCCCCACGGAGGAGCGCGTTAGTCACCTTTAAATCACTCGTATCGCCCCCGGGTGATGGAAAGCCGCATGCAGCCAGACCCTAAAGCCTTACGTGAGTTATTCCCAGTGTAATGCATGCACTAGAGGGTGAAATACAGTATAGGGTATCAAACAAAACACATGGAGTTGTTATGATTCTCGCCGGGTCACATTGTGTGGTTCCAGGACATATACAGTAAATACACGTCCCGGTTTGCTTGCACAGATGTTCTGGCAAGCGAGAGAGATGTCATGGGTTTGTAGGAAGAACCAAAACAAGGTCATAAAGCTCAAACAAGACTTTCTCTGTTATTCATGTTTTCATTTTTTTTGCAGCTTTATGGTTATTGGTGCGGTTTTGAAAGGATTAACAAGCTTGGATAACCTTCTTCCCTCGCTGTTCATCATTCTGTTGTTTGCGAAGCTCCAGGACTGACTTTGCCGAATGCAGCGGGTTAAAAGTTCACAGAGAAACCGATCGAGAGTCATTTTTCTTGTTCAGAGCTGTGCAGGTATAATGAGATATAGAGTTGATCAAATACTCGGTCAAGTTCTCCCTTTTCCTTTTGTAGAATTCATCCAATCTAAATGTACGAACTCCCTTGAGTACGTTATTTTGTTTTCCATTATTAAGATAATCATCAGAATTCTTTGTATTGCTGTTGTGAGTAACAAGAAGTCACAAACTAGGACATTGGGTTAGTGTTAGGGAAAACTAAAAATAGAATAGGGCATGCATAAAAAAACTAAAAAAAATCTACAAAACATTTCTTGAAATTACAATTATATTCAAGTGCACTAAATATAGAGTCATTAGACATTGTTTATTTATTTTATTGCATTTTTTCTCTTGTTGTATTGTATTGTATTGTCTTTTTTACCAACCTTGAATCTGGAATAAATATGTATTACTAGTGTATATATTATATTAAATTATTATATTATACAGTAAATCCGTATTATACACTTGGGTTCTTAGTGCGCTTGTATGTAGTAGTGATTCTAAGTACACACAATAGACGTTTGTATGTTTAATCTCATGTTGGCGATGCTACAGCCCGAATTTGACAAAACTCACCATACATTATCTTTGATGAAGCCAAACCAATTACAATATGACATTCTATGGTAAAAATGAGCACGTATGGCTCTCACTGCAATGTACATGGAAGTGGTATTTTCAAAAACATTTTACATATTACCATTAACGATTAAAGGTGCTATACCCGTTTTTTGCAGTTTGAATGTTTAGCCCCGCCCCCCAACTCGCTCACAGGTCTCTCATTTCCCCTATGCTCTTATTCCATGAAGACATCTAGTTTTATTTGCGATCTGATACATATGAAAAATTAGCATGAGCGCAATGTCTTGTAAGCTGTACAACAATCACTGATGAAATGGTACAAAAGCAACGCACTGCTAACAAAATATATAACTGAAAGATTACCGCTAGTTTGTAGTACCGTCCATGTAGTCCGAGCATAGATAGTCCGAGGCGGTCCCGCAGGTCTCTCCCATAGACTATTCTTTCCAGAGGATACAATGTAAGCTAGCTATGTTCACCTGGGCTTGATTTCTTCTTTGATCATTTTTTCGCTTTAGTTCCCTCTTCTCTTCCACACTGTTGCATCGTTTGGGTTGTTTTCTGTGTCTGCAGCTACAGCAAGAGGAGGTATAGCCACTTTCTGCTAACATGCTACTGTGGTTACTTGCGCTGCGGACGCTAGAGGAGGCGTGGCCTGTTTGCAACGCTGCTCCTCGTTCTGTGATTGGAGGAGAGCGAAGTTTCTACACAGCACTTATTACGGCCTCAATTCATACACAAGCTGAATCAATGAGCTCAAGTTTTCAATTCAATTACGGATTTTAGTAAAAGTTGTATTTAGGAATACGCATGTTTATCAACTCATTAGAAAATAAATTGGGCAAAAACTTCTTTAAGGTGCCAAACTAGCAGGACAATTTTCAGGGCTCCACTGTTTGGCTCTTTTATAAACAATTTCAGCCGCATGAGGTCAAGTCTGGATGAAGAGGCATTTAGGCCTTATTTGTGTGTGCAAACTCACTGTATTGTGTTTCATACCATGCTTTTTACGGTAATATTTTTTTGTTCTTATTCCTATTCATTGATGCAGATCTGTGTAGCTCTGTATCCCACACATTTCCCTTGGGACAATAAAGTTTTGCTTATCTTATCTTGTAGAAACTACAAAGAATCTTTAGGCAACACAAAATCCCTGTGTATTTCAAACCTTTCAACACGTTAAGACAGAAATTAGTGCATCCCAAAGACAAAACACCCAGACACAAACAGAGCAATGTGGTGTATTCAATTAAATGTAGTGAAGAGGAGTGCACTGACCACTATATTGGAGAAACTAAACAAACTCTGCAGAAACGACTTTACCAACATCGTAGAGAAAACTCTAGTGGGCCACAGTCGGCTGTTCATCTCCACCTCAAGGCCTCCAACCACACGGTGGATGACACAGAGGTTAAAATTCTGGCTCGGGAGAAGAATTGGTTTGAGAGAGGGGTGAAAGAAGCCATTTTTGTGAGGAAACAAAAACCTTCTCTTAACAGAGGAGGAGGGTTAAGATTTGTTTTGCCTCGCATCTATGACGACATCCTAAAAACAACGCCCTAACTTGGGACAAGGTCAGTGACATGCTAATGAGTTAGGAGGGGTGAAACCTGCACTCCACTTGAGCATCCCAGCAGACAATAGGTCTGTGACATGCTAAGGAGTTAGGGTCGTTAGCCTCAGCAGGGTCGTTAGACCTGCTCCCCTTCTACATCAAGCAGACCTGAGATTGTTTATGAATTAGTATCAGGATTAGGGTGTGGCTAACCACACCCATAGATTATAAATCTCCAACGCGCGGTCCGAGAATTCATTCCCTGAAGAAGTCCGCTGGTTTGAGGACGAAACGTCGGGAAAACTTGCTAAGAAGTACAGATGATGGGTGAGAAACCTTCCTTTGCTTTATCTTATCTTATCTTTTGTCTGTCTGTGAATTCTCACTGTAGCAGCCTGTGAATCCAAGACAAATTTCCTTCGGGACATAAGACATAAATAAATCTTGAATATGGACATGGGAGCAAACAAATCTATACACATGCATGAAGAATCATACCACTAAAATGGACACACTATTTTATTCATCCCATAATCTACTTTGCTTCCCAATATTTTCGCCGTCTCGGCTAATTGAGCGTTTTTCCTCATACTTTTTAGTTTTCTTTTCTGTTTCAGACCACGACATGTATTCTTACGTACAAAGTAAGTGAGAGATGCAGTCCAAAGCCAGTGACATGCATCTATACGGCCTCAGTTCTCATCAGGGCTGCATAAATCAGCTAACAGTATCATTTAGTGGTTCACATGCCAAAAACCGAGAGACGTAGATCTTCGTGGCTTTCTCCAGAACGGCCCTGAGTGCGGTCGAAGGCATGAGAAAACATTAGATCCAGTGTGAGGGAATGGAGCGCAGAACGACAACGATTCAACCGCATTTATGGACTTTTATCAGCATTTATGGACATTGGTCATCCGCCCCTTATGGACCCATGACTCTATGTGTTTTAACTGTTTGATTCTCTGATCTGTGTTGGCGAATCAACAGTTTTGTATAGTCCGAAAGCATTATTGAGTACATTAGCGACGAAAGAAGGGATGCCTTATACAATTGCACTGGGATTATAATAATAACAAATAAAAAAATAAAATAAAAACTCAGACATTTTTGCAACGTTGATGTATAGGCACCTTTGACCACAATTCTTGATTCATTCAAAGTTGTATCTCTATAATTTATGCAGATTTGATGTATTTGTATTCTTCCGATTCCAAGATTACCGAAATCTTTCACCGCTGTCTCCAGCAACGTTGTTTCTTACTTTACCTTTTTTTGATGCACTAATGATTTGGTAAACAGTGTCTAAATGTTCATTATTATCCCACTAACATGGAGGTATTGTGATTGTCTGTGTGTCTTTGCAGGATTAGCAAAGCTACAGGGTGGAATGCGCTGAAATGTTTTGTGTAAATGATGTGATGGTTGGAAACTCATTCAAGTTTAAAGGTGATCTGTGGTGTTGGCGGGGTATGTGCTCTCCGAATGCTTGCTCTCGTGACATATATACATAAAGGGGCAGTTGGAAATCCTTTGCAGTCTTCATAGGTAACTAGATTTTAAGATTGAAAATATTTTACATTTAGGGTGCTGAATTGAGGAGACTTTTTAATGTAGAAAATACTGTCACGGCAAGAGCTCGTACTACCTGCTCTAGTCTTGCATTGTTTTTCCAATGTGGTTTTACAACAAGTGGCAAAAAAAAAAACCGAAATCTGAATTTGATTTTTCATAACATGATACAGTATATTTGTTCAAAGTTAACCATAAAAACTTGTCCTGCTATTGGTTTGTCCATTTATGAGAAAAACATGAATCGCTTTTGCCAATACAATGATTCCTGTTGGGCATATTGCTGGTATGGTGGCTGAGTGGTTAGCCTTCATGCCATACAGCTGGAAGGTAGTGGGTTCTGGTTGGTTTGCTCCGGGTGCAGTGGTTTCTCCTACCATCAAAAAACATGCACCATAAAACGTCTGGCAAAGATCGTCCTGACTCCTGACCAAACCGAGCATCTACTTTGGGAATCCTTGGGTCCTGTTCTGCTCCTGAGGGTCGTTAGACTGAAGGATGGGGCAAATGCAGTGGACACATTTCATACAGGGACAGTACCTCAGCTTCTCATCCACTTTAGAAAGGTTTGGTAGAGCTTTTTACATTCTCATAACACTCGGACTCCAGGATTTCTGAAACTACCAGAACTCCCAGAGCCGTCGTTTGGACTGCTCCCATTCAAACCAAAGGAGTTCTAAATTCCCCCAAAGAACGTTTAGGATTTCACCATGTTGATAAAAAAAAAGTAATTTATAAGATTTTTTTTTACCTTTACTCACTTTCAATAAGTGCTAAAATTGGTCATTATAACAGCAGCTGAAATACTGCAAAAAAGGCCATCGCTAACTTCTGACAGTAAACAGTGTGTTGCTATGGTAACTAGTACTAGCACTTGATATTCTTTGGTGGAAAATGAGTTGAAGTTAGAACTCTTTCAAAAGTAAAAGATTTCATACAAAATAATTACATAAAATAGACCACATTCTACCAAAACAGAAAAAGTTATAAAGATCAAGAATGCACATGAGATTAGTAATTACACAACACTAAAAGCCGTCAGATTGACTGCTCTGGAAGTTCTGGTGTTTGAGAACAAGCTGCCGTCCTTGTGCTATAATTACAATATCATTCTCTCCTCACTGTTCTGTGAAATAAATCCTGCAGGCATGAGGGGGAAAACAAAGATTGTTGATGGACAAACAACATGCACTCTCTGTGACACACTCTGCGACCAATACAGTCTATTTTAACTTTTCTTATCTCATACCAACTACAGATATTTTAAGCAAGTAAGAAAGTAAGTAATATTTATTTATACAGCGCCTTTCTCAGATCCAGAGTCAAAAAACGCCTTTCAATTTACATTTGTCTCCCACTCCACACTGAGATGGTTTTTTCCAATATTCTAGAAATCCTAATTCCCAAACTTGACATGTTTAAACTTCCATCTCTCGACAGCAGCTCAGCAGTGACTCACTTTTCTTGAACATGAAAATCTCAGATAAAATGGGCTTTGGCTCCGGGACGCTGACTGCTGCCAATGGCTTTAGTGAACCGGGTTAAAGATCTTGATTTACAGTTTACATCTCAATAAACTAAAATTTTCTTGGATAAAATCACCTTATTGTCCATTTGGAAAAGTGTGTGGTTTTACAGCGTTGAAATGCTTGAAACACTACCTTTTGTTTGAGTTGAATGATTAAAGATATATTCTTTCCAGTAAGTGGCTCCGTTTTGACCCCATGACCGAGGGATGCTGTGGAGGGTTGTGGCTGGAATTCTGGGATAGAAGAAATATACAAATATCACATTATACCACGTTATCGTTCTTTTTTTCATTCATTTTACATCCCCTTTTTATGTGGCACCACCTGCGAGTGACCTCTGAAGCTAAGCAGAGCAGGGCCTGGTTAGTGCTGTGATGGGAGACCTCAGGGAACACCAGGTGCCACAGTGGGGCGGCTGCGGCTGTCAGGTGCCAAACTGTAATTTCTAAGTCGGGGTAGAACAACCTAGAAGCCCCTACAGCTCAGGCAGGTTAAACTCAGACCCGCAAGACCTTTTTTTGTGGCCCCTGTAATGATTTTCAATTATCATTATCACAGTGAGTTGCAGCTTTGATGGTAATAGGCTACTACGGCATGTTTTACTTCATTTTAAGCCTATTATCTCAAGAAAACAACCATATACTGGAATATGTTCTAAAATGTTAACTAAAATGTAATTAGAAGTTATAGTTACTTCATTATTATTTTTTATATGTAACTATCAGTCTAACAATACATCTCTTCTCGATATTTGGCCCAGCTCTGATTGAATCCAAACATAGTCCAAAAATGTATATACAAACTCAAATGCAATACATTTTCCAAGAGGAAGATAAGAAAAAAAGAAAAAAAAATACAGCTTTTATACTTTTTGGCCCAACCAGCTCTTCTGTTATTAAAATTGCACCCTAACCAAAATGAGTTTGACACCCCTGCCCTAGCTGCTCCATGGGAGGATGGCTACTCCGTCTATGGCCTTGGTCTTTCAGCTGGGGGTTCTGGCAAAGTGGTGTTAAGTGTCTTGCCCAAGTGCACAACAACAGCAGACTTCAGTGGGAGTATAGGTGACATGAGTCGTGGGGGTGAACCGAGTCACTGGCATAATAACACCACATTATCAGTAACTTTCTTATCTCGACCCGTTTGGATCCAAATGTCATTCTCCATGTGTTTGGCTGAGTCACAGCTTGACTTGGCTCAGTTGCAGTGTACCGTATGAAAACCAGTGACAGAACACTCCTGATGCATTCACTGACTTCCAGGAAAGTAGGAAAAAGGTTTTTTACAAGGCATGTGGGAGGACCCCGCAGCCTGTAATTAAGACAGTGTTAAAATCCACAAGCGGCAGTTTAACAGCCACTGTCGAAAAGTGAAAGTAAACCATTCCTGGATACTGTATGTACGATGACATAAGAACATGAGAATAGGACATTATAAATAAATCAAATTAGAAAAATACTAAAATGTTTGTGCAAAGTCTTTTTCCCCTTTTGTTTATTGTTTTGTTAATTTTCAACTCAGAAAAAGAGGAGCCGGATTGTGTTAAAAAATTGGGATTGCTTGGATGTATCAAAGTGACCAAAAAGACGAGTAGGTTTGAAGGTTTTAATAAATGGCTAAAATGATAAGGTTAGGACGTCTCGGTGTAAATGTCATTTTTTGGTCCATTCAAGTCGAAAATGTAATTCCCAATGCTGCCTTTATATCTTGAAGGATTGGCACTCTTTAAATCAGAATCAGAATTCAAGCTATCATTACCACATACTATAGCATTTTTTTGCAGTGTAAGACAAGTTAAGTTGATACGTCCAACATTAATAACATGGGCGATTGTGTACAGCAGTGTCTGGGTTCATGCTGCTGCTGTCGTGGAGGATGTGAGTGGAAACAGGAAGTGGTCTGACCATGTGTGTGTCTCTTCCCACAGATCCTTTCCCGCTCGGACTGGGACCACAAGAGGGGCTCTCGAGGATCACAGGTTAGCCACGTTCACATAAGAACACTGCACGACGTGGATCTCAGACTCAGATCTCAGACTATATGCAAGAATACTGGTTTAAATCTGGGGATGTCTTTGCATACCCAAGCAAAAATGTCTATGAATATTTGCTCCCCGTGCGTTTCAATGGATTTGGAGGAGGAAAAAAACAGCATAATTGTCAACTCAAAAAATCTGGACAAATATAGTATTTTTTTTCTTCAAATGTATGTACACCGAAAGATAAAAAGCAATTAACAGGATACAAAAAAATTATAATAAAAAAAAAAAGATAATAAAATAATGGACGATTTGAAAATGGGGCAAAGTAGATGCATATTTGGTTCCAACTTCTCTCACTCACACAATACATGCGCACACACCAGCACATGCACACACACACACACACACACACACACACACATTTGCATTGTTTTTTAAGTCTTGTGCTGGGTGAAATACTAAGGTTAATTTGTGATTACCAGTATAATATATGTGTGCGCATGTGTGTGTGTGTGTGTGTGTGCATGCATGTGTGTGTGTGTGTGTGTGTGTGTGTGCATGCGTGTGTGTGTGTGTGTGTGCATGCGTGTGTGTGTGTGTGTGTGTGTGTGTGTGTGTGCATGCATGTGTGTCTGTGTGTGCGTGGAGTCGGTGTGTTGACCTTGCAAAGCCATTGGGCAGGAGCTCTTGGTTCTGGCCACGCACACTCTAATATCAAAAACACACTTCTGTTCTGCTGACAGCTCTCATAATCACACATTAACCAGAAGAAATGGAGAAGGATTAGTGGTGTTCTTTACTATGGGATTAGCGGAAATTCAGATTTGGTTGGGAAAGATTTTAACTTTCCAGCTACACGCTTTCTCCTCCTGAGTTTTGCCATTGTTTTCTCAAAACTGAATTCACATTTTGACTTGGAATCGTTATGACGCTCTTTCACATGTAACGTACAGAACCAGGTCAATAATGGGCACGATTTATTTGTAAAGCACAATTCTTACCTGCTTTACAAAACATAACAAGAAACATTACAATCATCAATCGTCTTTATTTTTAGTACTAATGCTTCATAGTTCATAACGTTTTAAAATCCCACATGGCATGAATAACATAAACATTGAAATCTCACTGGGAATTAAAAACATAAATAATCAGTGCTGAATATTGCAGAGACCGGAGACTGGACTAATGAGACCATACTTCCTGGTTCTAGTCAGGACTCGAGCTGCACCTTTTTGAAAATCATAGATAAATAAAAGCATATATAATCCCAATACATTCATTATTATCAATCATTAAAAACGGTACCTTTTAAAATATGTCAAATGTGCAAAATTGCATCCATGTTGCTGCTTTTAGCTGCATTTTAACTTGTGTTGTAACAAAATGTACTGTTTACTTGTGATGTAAGGCAACCTTGAGTATTGTAAAGGCGCCTAAGAAATGAAATGTATTATTATTATTATCATTATTAAACCTTTAGATAGTGTACAGAGAACATTTGATTTTACATTTTCACTTCAGGTTTGAGTAAAGTCTGTGTTCCAATTTACGGGAGCTTTAGAATGGACATTTTATTAAAGCTGCACTAACTGACTTTATTTTTGTATTCATTACAAAAATGCTATCCATATCCATGTAGTGCATTGGGATAAACGTCGTTTTGAAGAAAAAGTAGCGCAGATTTGTGCTGGCCTGACATTATATTTTAGATCGAGTTTTGATGAAACATGGAAGAGAATGTGTTTCGGGTCGCAGATTGTGACCAATCACAGCGGACCACAGGCCCCCACTTTCGTGAGAAATCTACAGGTCCGTTAGCACAGGCAGCTGAGTTTGCACAACAAGCGGCGGAGCTAACCTGAAACTTCGTGTCTTCGTCACCGGTTACTGCTTACACAGCGAGACAGCCATCCAAAAGAAAGTCTCGTTCCTCCGCGCTTCCTGGTTCTATCGTTTTATGGTCACGCCATTCACGTGCAAATCCATATCCATTTATTATCCATATTGGGAGACGCTAGCTCCGTCAACAACAGTGGGTGTGTGTGGGGGGCGATAGCTTCGTGGGTGCGGGGAGGGGAGCAGAAAGAGCGAGGCCAGCGAGTCCGCGGCTTCAAAATCCCAAAGTCAGTTAGTGCAGCTTTAACCCTGATCCAGTAACGACAGGATTGACCGTAGATTTCGCACTATTAGGCGCACATAAAAGCCTTTAATTTCAACCATGCGCCCTATATATGAAAATAAAGGCATCATTTTATAATGCGCCTTATAATCAGGTGCGCCTCATAGTGCGAAAAATATGGTATTTAACAGCATGAATTCAGTAGTCTTCCCTAAAACATTTGGACACAATCAACCAACAGATCCCACAGATTTTGATCTCTCGTCTTTTAGTTTCGTGGCTTTTCCTCCTTGTCTATAACTTGGATCTGCATTTGGCCTTCTCTTTGCTCTTTTCTCTTTTCCAAAACCAATGTGTTTTCAAGTCAAATCCAAACATTTAACTCACTCTTTCCGCACATATTGTTGCCGTCAATGGCGATAAGCTAAAACAAAGCAAATAAATATGTGCTTTTGGAAAAAAAAAAATCTGCTTATGTATCCATGAGCAAGTATAGAAGAAGAGAGGAGAGAGATTTACACGGTGGAGGTGGAGGGGGGCAGCTTCCAGAGGTGCGAGCAGCTCCTCTGAACGACAGCATGGGCCAAGGAAAAGTTAACCGCAGGTCCAAACCAGGTGCCAACATAAGCCCCAGCGTCTTACATGTCCTGTCAGTCTGGGGATTTTTACAGGATTCCACTGACGATTGCACTGCGGTAATGTAAATAAAGCCATACCGCTGACCACTGGGATGTTATGATGGACTAATCAATCTACTATGGAACAAGAACTCACTCATTCACTCAACTAAAATACTGATAATGTTGTCAGAATAGAATCATAATAGAATCTACTTTGTCACTTACTCCCCAAAGGATAATTGTATGGTTAAATATAAAAAAATCCTTCTTTTTGGACTAATAGATTTTGATGGGAAAATGCCCAAACAAAAAGATATTTTGATTAGACCGTCTTAAATACCAAGATAGGCCAACAAAAAATACATTTGCAATATCCATGCTTGAATTAAGACTAAAGCTGGTTGCTCCATTGTTTTAAGAAGTTTTTTCAAATCCTATGTATTTTCCTGCCTAGGGATTACGGATGAAAACTGTCTTGGTAGCTATAATCTGGCATATTTACATTTGTTTTATACTGATGTTCATTAATGTGCATTTTTCCTATCAAATAAATAAATGAATAAAATCGACTGGAGCTTAGCATTATCTCCACGGTCTAAAAGGAGTAGCTCTCTGCAACTTTTGTCCCGAAAAAGGAGCTCTCCCTGGAAAAAGGTTGGAGACGCCTAATGTACAGATTTTATTATCATCATTTATTAAATCATTTATTTTATCAAATATCCCAGAACCACACGGGGGGACCTGGTGAATGACCTGCAGAGAACTGGGACCAAAGTAACAAAGGTTACCATCAGTAACACACTACAACGACAGGGAATCAAATCATGCAGTGCCAGAAGTGTCCCCCTGCTGAAGCCAGTGCATGTCCAGGCCCGTCTGAAGTTTGCCAGAGAGCACATGGATGATACAGCCGAGGATTGGGAGAATGTCATGTGGTCAGATGAAACCAAAGTAGAACTGCTTGGTATAGACTCAACTCGTCGTGTTTGGATACTGAGTTGCATCCCAAGAACACCATACAGTAGGTATGGTGTTCTTGGTGTTCTTGCAACTCAGTATCCAAACACGATGAGCACTGTGAAGCATGGGGGTGGAAACGTCATACTTTGGGGCTGTTTTTTCTGCTAAGGGGATAGGACGACAGATCCATGTTAAGGAAAGAATGAATGGGGCCATGTATCGTGAGATTTTGAGCCAAAACTTCCTTCCATCAGTGAGAGCTTTGAAGATGAAACGTGGCTGGGTCTTCCAGCATGACAATGATCCCAAACACACCGCCCGGGCAACGAAGGAGTGACTCCGTAAGAAGTATTTGAAAGTCCTGGAGTGGCCTAGCCATTCTCCGGACCTCAACCCCATTGAAAATCTGTGGAGGGAGTTGAAAGTCTGTGTTCACTGCTCTCGAGAAGATCTGCATGGAGGAATGGGCTACCAGCTACTGTGTGTGCAAACCTGGTAAAGACCTATAGTAATCGTTTGACCTCTGTTATTGCCAACAAAGGTTATATTACAAAGTATTGAGTTGAATTTTTTTTATTGACCAAATACTTATTTTCCACTATAATTTACAAATAAATTCTTTAAAAATCCTGTCTCTCACAGTTGAAGTGTGCCTATGATGAAAATTACAGACCTCTGTCATTATTTTAAGTGGGAGAACTTGCACAATCGGTGGCTGACTTAATACTTTTTAGAGATTTTAGAGATGTTATGCTTATTTCTTTATTATGCCAAAGTTAGTATCGACTTATAGTTCATTTATCTTGTGCTGTGTGCTCCTCATTCCTACTGTTCTGTAACTGATGATGCAACACTGAAATTTCCCCACTGTGGGACAAATACCGGATCTCTTAATCTTAATAATGCTGATAGTGAATTTTCTTCTTTGCCTCAAGAATAGTTTTTCTTCATGGATTATACTTTGTCCTTTTGGTATTTTTCCCACGTGATGTATTTGAGATCTGTGATAAAATACCTCAGCATGGTGCTGTTTCTTTGAAGACAATATCTGACATTTAGAGGGCCGTATTTATAGCCGTGCCATTTTTATCTGCTGCGATAGTCCCCTCTGCTGCGCTCGTGACAAATCTATGTTTAACAAATGATTGGTTCCCGCTGTGTGAACGCACAGCTTATGTTTATATTATGTTATCATATTTCATGTTGCTCGATTTCATTTGTGTCACCGATCACGGCTGATGGATGCCACACTTTTAACACAAATTGTTTCTTTCTGTAACGGATTGTATTTTTTT